ATACAGCACAAGCGCGTGTTCACATCACACAGGGGTGTGCACTGCACATGCAGCGGGTCCACCAATTCAGGTGAGTGTATGCATGTGAGTGTGCACGCGTGATGTTTGTGTGTGCGGGTGTGCGGGTGTGTATGTGTACGTGTCAGTGATTCACGACTTTAACAGACCAGAACCAACATGAAACCTGGCCAGTGCTACCAAAAGCATCAGCGCAGGTCAGGTCAGTACCAGGGTGTTGGGTCAATCCTGGGCAATGGCTTGGCTGCTGCTGCTAGTGCTGTGCTTCACTGCGCCTGGCTTTCTGAGACGTCTCAGAAGTCGTCTGGGCATGCCATTGGGTCAGACTCAACCCTGAGCAACGGCTGCTGGCTGCTCTTACTGTGCATGACTGGGCTGAGCAGCAGTGCGACAAGCCCCATACTAGCTTTACTGTGCTTGGATATACCTGTGCGTTGGATTGGGGAAGCGAGGAGGGTAGCGACGCCTGCTGTGCTGACCCTCCTGGTGCCGGCTGGGGCTTGCCGTCCTTGGTTGCTCCCTCTCCCTGCTTGATTGCCGGCACCAAGGCATCAGCACAGCACAGCACAGCACAGCACAGCACAGCACAGCACAGCACAGCACAGCACACCAGAGCAGACCAGGGCAGGGCAGGGCAGATGAACGCAGAGCAGAGCGTGCAGTCAGTGCATCACACCACAACATGAGCACGCATGCACGCGCACACATATGCATATGCACACATATGCATATGCACATGACAGACATTCATGAAGGCACAGTCACATTCATAATCAGGATGATTACCATACACAAATCCGCCACCGCCCTTCCACCCACAAAGACCCCCCCCCCCCTCGCCCCCACACACACACAATCTCACACACAAACACGGACGGATAAGCAAATAGACAGAGAGTGAGCGACATTCTTGCTAACACGGTCGACAAAAAGAGCAGCAACGGCAGAGCAGTGAGAGGAAGCAGAAGCAACAACTTGAGGAAACGCAGGTGGCGAGAACAAAAAGAAGATCGTATTGAGAGAGAGAGAAAAAAAACAACAGAACGGGCGGCAAGGTGCAAGGGCACGGAGGACAAAGGGAGGGAGAGGTGGGGAAGGAAGGGGGAATGGAACTGGCGAGGGTGAAAAGGTGAGTGAAACGGAAAACAGCAAAATAAATCTTCTCTCATGGAGAATGAGGGCGCGGGTTGGAGGGGGGAAAGGGGTGGGGGGAATCAGTTGAAGGTAGGGAGAGAGAATGAAGGCGTCACAGGCATAGTAGGAGGGAAGAATGGAGCGGTATGGATGGGATGGGATGGGATAGGATGGGATGAGATGAGATGAGATGTGAGGAGATGAGACGAGAGGATCTGCGCACCTCAGTCTGTACGGAGCAGGTAGGTCATAGCAGCAGACGATGGAGCACGTTTGGACGAGGAAGCACGAGGTTCGAGACGGGAGAGATGGCGAGATGGCGAGACGGCGAGACGGCGAGAGAGGAAAGGCATGAAAGGGAAAGGACGAGAGTGGACGAAAGGGAACGACAGAGAGGGAAAAAGAGGAGGGGATGGTTTGAAAAACACGACCACGAGAACCAAACAGCAGTAAGTTCGAGCGAGAATATGCTAGCCAGAACCCCATAAGAAACAGCTCAATCAAAAGAGAGAAGCAAAGAGGCCGTCTAGATAGTGCATCATGCACTGCAACCAGCGATTCAGCGGGCGCTTGTCACGAGGGAGATGGGGAACGGGCGCCGAGGCCGGCGGGAGAATGCTGGGGGGGAGAGAGCAAAGGCGCAAACCTCAAGGAACGAGGTCCAGACCTACCGTGCAAAAAAAAAAGAAAACAAATCCTATACTATTTCCCTCGCCCCACTCCAGACTCCAGCCTGATCAGCACTTGCTTCCCCTCTTCCCCCTCTGTCCCACCCGCTTGCCCTCCCCCTCTCGTTCCCCTCTCCCTCCCTTGCCCAACCCCTCCCTTCTTCCCCCGTCCAGCTCATGATACCGCTCAAGCCGGTCCGCTCCCTCCCTCACTCCCGTTCTCTCCCTTTCCCCCTTTCTTTACAAGTCCAACGCCCTCCCACCCCATCCTGCCCCTCTGTCTCCCGCTTCAAGCGCACCTCGCGGTATCTGTGCAAGTACACTTTAAGCGGCTCCACATAGTCCTCGAACCCCAGCGTGCTCATCGCCCACAGCAAATCGTCGCCGTTGATCGTCTTGCGCTTCTCACGCTGGCACTTGTCGCTCGCCCTGCTCCGAAGGGTCAAGGGAGAGAGGAAGGGAGAGCGAGAGAGAGGGAGAAGGGGCACAGACGAAGAGAGAGAGAAAAAATGGTGTGTTAAATAGTTAGTTAGTTAGTATCTTAATATTTTACAAAGGAAGGAGAGAGGGGGGAGAGGGGGGAGGGGGGGGGGGGAGGTGGTAAGGAGGGGGAGAAAGAAAGAACCGTTGATGGCAAGGCCTTATGCTTCAGCAGTGCGCAGAGGGGCGCAGAAGGGAGAGAGATATCGAAAGGAAGGGAGCGACCAAAACGAGCCAAAGGACGAGCGAGCGACGGTAGATTGCGCGGCGGAAGTGGGTCGGGGAGGATTAAGAGAACCGCAATAACTGTGGCCAAACAGATGGTATTAAAGCTTGGGAACTCAAAAATGAACACCGGAACCAGATGGAAAAAGAAAGACGAGCGCGAGGAGCGAGAGCGGGAGGTGGGGGGCGAGGGGGTGCGCGGAAAGAGGGCGGGGCGGGGAGGGAGGAGAGACGGGGGAAGGAGGAGGGGAGGGGGGAAGACGAGGAAAAACGTCTCAAAAGGCAAGCTCAGCGCATGGCCGAGGAAAACGTACTCGCTGGTAATAAAACTGATAAACTCAGAGACGCACTCCTGAACCGTCTCCTTGGCGTCTTTCGCGATCTTAGCGTTCTGCGGCAGCGCCTTCTTCATAATCCGACTAATATTCGCGATAGGCAGGAACCGATCCTGCTCGCGAACCGACGACGACCCTCCTTCACCGCCGCCGTGCCCCGACGTTCCCCCCTCGAGATCCTCGGGGTTGCTCTCGGGCGACCCTGGCTCGTCCGGCATGGCGACGCGGAGTTAAGCTCGCTGGTTGGTGCAGATGATGCGGGTTGGGTTCACGTGCGCGGTGATTAAGCGCGCGTCAACAAAGCGAAGGGGGGAAGGCGGTGGGTAAGGACGACGCGTCACGCGCCGCGTGATAGGGAGGAAGACGCGTGACCTCGGCGCAGGGTGACGACGAGGAAGATCTGGAGAAAGAAACGGAACGTGACAACACACGATGAAAAGGGTTTGAAAGAAAGATGCCTTAAAGTCAGTAGTCTGGGGGTTCGCATCGCAGGTGTGTTTTTGGAACCAGCAAAAAAAAAGTTTCAAAAAAATGTAACGGTTTCTTTTCCTCCAGTTGACATGGGAGATTTGAAGTAGAAAGGAAAGAAGTAAAGGACAAAGTGTAGTACACGACGGATGGAACAGAACGCGGCAAGCATACAACGGGAGCAGGAAACAGGAGTGGAGCCGCAGTGGGAGTATGTGCAAGCCGTTTCGAGTGCTAAATGGGCATATCATAGCGGCCTACGCTTACCGGATATCCCAAACCGACCCGGCGTGACCTTTTACAAGGGTGCACTAGGACGTTAGCGGCTGCTCTATAACTCCGTGATGACCGGCTGCTCTATAACTCCGTGATGACCGGCTGCTCTAACTGAGCGAGAACTAGAATCCTGGCAACTGGCGTGTGCAAAGAGTGTGCTATGTACGTATCGCTCGCTAAGAAACCCTAGGAGCTGTGTTACTGTACATCGATGAGCTGTGGTCACTGATGATTTGTTGCGAGGGCGGATCATGCGGTGGAGTGAGATGGGCTGCGTGCCAGAGTGGCGCATTTGGTTTTTAAAACGTTTAGGCAACCTTCAAAGCATGTAACGAACGGTTTTGCCGCCCTGTCCTTCTGCACCGGCATATGCGAAATTTCATTTGTCGATCACCTGCGAAGGTAACCACTTTTGCGAGGCGTCCCCATTAACGAAGGTTCTACATTTCAGGCGCTCGCGAAAAAACTCGCGCGCGTGTATTTGGCTGACCTATTCCAGATTTCCCCAATCAAAAGGCCTCAGAAGCAGCTCATACGACCAGCTGGATGGACGTGGTGGCGGGGAATGTGCGCCTGGGCGGGAGGCTGGGGAGGGAAAGGCGGTGCTTCCGCGGGTATGGGCGGAGTCAAACAGCGGCGCGGCTTGAACGGGCAGCGGAGGAAGCCTGGGCTAAGCGAGAAATCTGACACCCGCAGATCTGGGCATTGGGAAGATTTTTCAACAGGCGACAGTGCCAATGAAACCTGCAACTGGAAGTGCAGGCTGTGACGGAGGTTGGTGGTGCTGCTGACCTGCGCAGCGCATGCGCCAATTCGATTGTTCGAAAGGCAAAAATGAAAACCTGAGGGCGCGTTCCTGGTTACTGTGAAAGTTCCGATTCAAGACAATCCGACTGTTCACCATAATCACAAGTCAATGATTTTATATCAACACCACTTGGTTTTAAAGCAAGAGTAACAATTTTTGACCCTGTCTCGTGTATTTGTATAATCCTCAACATGTGAAGAGAATGTACTACCATGCAAAGTGAATCTATCCGGAAAACAATAAGAAATATTACTACACTTGATACAATGGACATTGCATGCTCTGTAGGTCTCGCTACCAGGCAAAGCAACAGAAAATCCTCATCCGAGAGATCCTGTCCTGAGCCTGCTCAGTGGGGAAAATGGCATAACGAGGAGATTTCCAGTTTGAGTTAGAATTGACTCCTTGTGTACACACATACCCCTTCCTCCTCCACCACTTCCTCTCCCCGTCCCCCTCCAGCCCCACACACACAGAAATATGCCGGCCGCGCCGCACATACCACGAGACAAGAGGCCAATTGGAGCTCTTTTCCACCACAGGCTTCTTGGAGGTTCTCTCGACCTGAGGGTTGCCACGGGACAGAAGCTACTTTGAGCCGCTTTGAGCAGTGGGTTTCCACCAGAAGGAGACGGAGCAGCTGGGGCGGGTGGCCTTGACGTAGTGCCAGTAGCGCGGCGGGATGTAGAGCAGGTCCCCGGGGGAGAGCAGCACGTCCCAGAAGGGCGCCAGGGGGGCCAGGGGGAAGGCTGTGAGATCTGGTGCGTCTAAGTCAACCTGATGGGGGGATGGGGGAAACGGGGGTTTTGAGGGGATGGGAGGTAGTGGGAAATGGGAGGAACAGGAGAAATGAGGTTGGGTTAGGGTTGATTGAGTTATGATTTCAGGAAAAGGGGACCACGAGAGGGAGTGGCGGGATGTAGAGCAGATCCCCGGGGGAGAGCAGCACGTCCCAGAAGGGCGCCAGGGGGACGAGAGGGAAGGCCGTGGGGTCTGGACTGGAGAGTCTAGATCCACCTGATAAAACCAGAATGGGGGAACGCAGCGCGGGGGGGGGGGGGGGGAATGGTGGGGAATGAGGCGGAACAGGCGGGAATTGGGGGGATGGGATGGGAGCAATAGGAGGATGAGGCTGGGGTAGGTGGGGTTCGGCTGGGTTAGGATTCCGGCAAAGGGGCACATGAGATTGGAGCGGCGGGATGTAGAGCAGATCCCCGGGGGAGAGCAGCACGTCCCAGAAGGGCGCGAGGGGGGGCAGGGGGAAGGCCGTGAGATCTGGCGCGTCTAAATCCACCTGATAGGGGGGGTGGGGGAATGGGGGATGGGGAAAAAAGGGGGCGAATGGGAGGAACAGGAGGGAATCAGGTTGGGCTAGGCTAGGTTGGATTGGGTTGTGATTTAGGGCACGGGGTGCGCGCATGAGAGGCAGCAGCGGGCTGTAGAGAAAATCGCCGGGGTGAGCAGCACATCCCAGAAGGGAGCGAGGTCAGAGTGGGGGGAAGCTGTGAGCTCTGGTTCGTCTAGACCCACCTGATGGGGGGATGCGCATGAGCTCTGGTGGGAAACAGGGGACGTAGGAGGTTGGCTGTTTTCATTTTTTGCTAGGAGACTAAAGAAACAAAAAAGAATCATCTCTATACCTGGCTGGAGTTGCAGAGCATTTTTTCCTTGTGCAGGTACAGCCGAGCGTCCTCTGCGCTGCTGTACACACGCACGTACTTGCTGCCCACCACCTGGGAAGAACACCAGCAGCAGCAGCACAGGCAAAGGAAGGAAAATTACAAGGCGGCTCTGTGGCCTGTGTTGGGAGCAAGTAAGCAGGCTCGTCCTCTCTGCTGCTGTACACACGCACGTACTTGCTGCCCACCACCTGGGGAAGAAGCAAAGGCAACACCAGCAGCAGCAGCAACACAGCCAGAAGGGAGAAGGAAAACGGCACTAATCTGAAACCTGTCGCATGGAGGGCCGCCGAGCGTGCTCCCTGCTGCTGCTGTACACATGCAAGTACTTGTTGCCCACCACCTGGGGAGAAGACTTTTGAGTCGACTCAAAAGTCGAATTGCTGTGCACATGCAAGTACTTGATGCCCACCACCTAGGGAGAACAACACCAGCAGCAGCAGCAGCACAGGCAGAAGGAAGAAGCAACACGACGAAACTTTGTGGCCTGTCAAGTCGTGTTGTCACGTGTGTCCCATGGCATGGGCAAGGCAAGGATCTCGGCTGGTCCTCTGTGCTGCTGTACAGATGTACTTGCTGCTGCCGACTTGTGTTTTGAGTCGACTCAACAGTCACCCCGACCCGTGTTTTGAGTCGACTCAACAGTCACCCCGACCCGTGTTTTGAGTCGACTCAACAGTCACCCCGACCCGTGTTTTGAGTCGACTCAACAGTCACCCCGACCCGTGTTTTGAGTCGACTCAACAGTCACCCCGACCCGTGTTTTGAGTCGACTCAACAGTCACCCTGACCCGTGTTTTGAGTCGACTCAACAGTCACCCCGACCCGTGTTTTGAGTCGACTCAACAGTCACCCCGACCCGTGTTTTGAGTCGACTCAACAGTCACCCTGACCCGTGTTTTGAGTCGACTCAACAGTCACCCCGACCCGTGTTTTGAGTCGACTCAACAGTCACCCCGACCCGTGTTTTGAGTCGACTCAACAGTCACCCCGACCCGTGTTTTGAGTCGACTCAACAGTCACCCCGACCCGTGTTTTGAGTCGACTCAAAAGTCACCCCGACCCGTGTTTTGAGTCGACTCAACAGTCACCCCGACCCGTGTTTTGAGTCGACTCAACAGTCACCCCGACCCGTGTTTTGAGTCGACTCAACAGTCACCCTGACCCGTGTTTTGAGTCGACTCAACAGTCACCCCGACCCGTGCTTTGAGTCGACTCAACAGTCACCCCGACCCGTGTTTTGAGTCGACTCAACAGTCACCCCGACCCGTGTTTTGAGTCGACTCAACAGTCACCCCGACCCGTGTTTTGAGTCGACTCAACAGTCACCCCGACCCGTGTTTTGAGTCGACTCAACAGTCACCCCGACCCGTGTTTTGAGTCGACTCAACAGTCACCCCGACCCGTGTTTTGAGTCGACTCAACAGTCACCCTGACCCATGTTTTGAGTCGACTCAACAGTCACCCCGACCCGTGTTTTGAGTCGACTCAACAGTCACCCCGACCCGTGTTTTGAGTCGACTAAATCAAAAGTCACCCTGGCCCGTGTTTTGAGTCGACTCAAAAGTCACCCTGACCCGTGTTTTGAGTCGACTCAACAGTCACCCCGACCCGTGTTTTGAGTCGACTCAAAAGTCACCCTGGCCCGTGTTTTGAGTCGACTCAAAAGTCACCCTGACCCGTGTTTTGAGTCGACTCAAAAGTCACCCCGACCCGTGTTTTGAGTCGACTCAAAAGTCACCCTGGCCCGTGTTTTGAGTCGACTCAAAAGTCACCCCGACCCGTGTTTTGAGTCGACTCAAAGTCACCCTGACCCGTGTTTTGAGTCGACTCAACAGTCACCCCGACCCGTGTTTTGAGTCGACTCAAAAGTCACCCTGACCCGTGTTTTGAGTCGACTCAAAAGTCACCCCGACCCGTGTTTTGAGTCGACTCAAAAGTCACCCTGACCCGTGTTTTGAGTCGACTCAACAGTCACCCCGACCCGTGTTTTGAGTCGACTCAAAAGTCACCCTGACCCGTGTTTTGAGTCGACTCAAAAGTCACCCCGACCCGTGTTTTGAGTCGACTCAAAAGTCACCCCGACCCGTGTTTTGAGTCGACTCAAAAGTCACCCCGACCCCTGTTTTGAGTCGACTCAAAAGTCACCCCGACCCGTGTTTTGAGTCGACTCAAAAGTCACCCCGACCCGTGTTTTGAGTCGACTCAAAAGTCACCCCGACCCGTGTTTTGAGTCGACTCAAAAGTCACCCCGACCCGTGTTTTGAGTCGACTCAAAAGTCACCCCGACCCGTGTTTTGAGTCGACTCAAAAGTCACCCCGACCCGTGTTTTGAGTCGACTCAACAGTCACCCCGACCCGTGTTTTGAGTCGACTCAAAAGTCACCCTGACCCGTGTTTTGAGTCGACTCAAAAGTCACCCCGACCCGTGTTTTGAGTCGACTCAAAAGTCACCCCGACCCGTGTTTTGAGTCGACTCAAAGTCACCCTGACCCGTGTTTTGAGTCGACTCAACAGTCACCCCGACCCGTGTTTTGAGTCGACTCAAAAGTCACCCCGACCCGTGTTTTGAGTCGACTCAGAAGTCACCCCGACCCGTGTTTTGAGTCGACTCAAAAGTCACCCCGACCCGTGTTTTGAGTCGACTCAACAGTCACCCCGACCCGTGTTTTGAGTCGACTCAAAGTCACCCTGACCCGTGTTTTGAGTCGACTCAACAGTCACCCCGACCCGTGTTTTGAGTCGACTCAAAAGTCACCCCGACCCGTGTTTTGAGTCGACTCAACAGTCACCCCGACCCGTGTTTTGAGTCGACTCAAAAGTCACCCCGACCCGTTTGTTGAGTCGACTCAAAAGTCACCCCGACCCGTGTTTTGAGTCGACTCAAAAGTCACCTCGACCCGTGTTTTGAGTCGACTCAACAGTCACCCCGACCCGTGTTTTGAGTCGACTCAAAAGTCACCCTGACCCGTGTTTTGAGTCGACTCAAAAGTCACCCCGACCCGTGTTTTGAGTCGACTCAAAAGTCACCCCGACCCGTGTTTTGAGTCGACTCAAAAGTCACCCTGACCCGTGTTTTGAGTCGACTCAAAAGTCACCCCGACCCGTGTTTTGAGTCGACTCAAAAGTCACCCCGACCCGTGTTTTGAGTCGACTCAACAGTCACCCCGACCCGTGTTTTGAGTCGACTCAACAGTCACCCCGACCCGTGTTTTGAGTCGACTCAACAGTCACCCTGACCCGTGTTTTGAGTCGACTCAACAGTCACCCCGACCCGTGCTTTGAGTCGACTCAACAGTCACCCCGACCCGTGTTTTGAGTCGACTCAACAGTCACCCCGACCCGTGTTTTGAGTCGACTCAACAGTCACCCCGACCCGTGTTTTGAGTCGACTCAACAGTCACCCCGACCCGTGTTTTGAGTCGACTCAACAGTCACCCCGACCCGTGTTTTGAGTCGACTCAACAGTCACCCCGACCCGTGTTTTGAGTCGACTCAACAGTCACCCTGACCCATGTTTTGAGTCGACTCAACAGTCACCCCGACCCGTGTTTTGAGTCGACTCAACAGTCACCCCGACCCGTGTTTTGAGTCGACTAAATCAAAAGTCACCCTGGCCCGTGTTTTGAGTCGACTCAAAAGTCACCCTGACCCGTGTTTTGAGTCGACTCAACAGTCACCCCGACCCGTGTTTTGAGTCGACTCAAAAGTCACCCTGGCCCGTGTTTTGAGTCGACTCAAAAGTCACCCTGACCCGTGTTTTGAGTCGACTCAAAAGTCACCCCGACCCGTGTTTTGAGTCGACTCAAAAGTCACCCTGGCCCGTGTTTTGAGTCGACTCAAAAGTCACCCCGACCCGTGTTTTGAGTCGACTCAAAGTCACCCTGACCCGTGTTTTTGAGTCGACTCAACAGTCACCCCGACCCGTGTTTTGAGTCGACTCAAAAGTCACCCTGACCCGTGTTTTGAGTCGACTCAAAAGTCACCCCGACCCGTGTTTTGAGTCGACTCAAAAGTCACCCTGACCCGTGTTTTGAGTCGACTCAACAGTCACCCCGACCCGTGTTTTGAGTCGACTCAAAAGTCACCCTGACCCGTGTTTTGAGTCGACTCAAAAGTCACCCCGACCCGTGTTTTGAGTCGACTCAAAAGTCACCCCGACCCGTGTTTTGAGTCGACTCAAAAGTCACCCCGACCCCTGTTTTGAGTCGACTCAAAAGTCACCCCGACCCGTGTTTTGAGTCGACTCAAAAGTCACCCCGACCCGTGTTTTGAGTCGACTCAAAAGTCACCCCGACCCGTGTTTTGAGTCGACTCAAAAGTCACCCCGACCCGTGTTTTGAGTCGACTCAAAAGTCACCCCGACCCGTGTTTTGAGTCGACTCAAAAGTCACCCCGACCCGTGTTTTGAGTCGACTCAACAGTCACCCCGACCCGTGTTTTGAGTCGACTCAAAAGTCACCCTGACCCGTGTTTTGAGTCGACTCAAAAGTCACCCCGACCCGTGTTTTGAGTCGACTCAAAAGTCACCCCGACCCGTGTTTTGAGTCGACTCAAAGTCACCCTGACCCGTGTTTTGAGTCGACTCAACAGTCACCCCGACCCGTGTTTTGAGTCGACTCAAAAGTCACCCCGACCCGTGTTTTGAGTCGACTCAGAAGTCACCCCGACCCGTGTTTTGAGTCGACTCAAAAGTCACCCCGACCCGTGTTTTGAGTCGACTCAACAGTCACCCCGACCCGTGTTTTGAGTCGACTCAAAGTCACCCTGACCCGTGTTTTGAGTCGACTCAACAGTCACCCCGACCCGTGTTTTGAGTCGACTCAAAAGTCACCCCGACCCGTGTTTTGAGTCGACTCAACAGTCACCCCGACCCGTGTTTTGAGTCGACTCAAAAGTCACCCCGACCCGTTTGTTGAGTCGACTCAAAAGTCACCCCGACCCGTGTTTTGAGTCGACTCAAAAGTCACCTCGACCCGTGTTTTGAGTCGACTCAACAGTCACCCCGACCCGTGTTTTGAGTCGACTCAAAAGTCACCCTGACCCGTGTTTTGAGTCGACTCAAAAGTCACCCCGACCCGTGTTTTGAGTCGACTCAAAAGTCACCCCGACCCGTGTTTTGAGTCGACTCAAAAGTCACCCTGACCCGTGTTTTGAGTCGACTCAAAAGTCACCCCGACCCGTGTTTTGAGTCGACTCAAAAGTCACCCCGACCCGTGTTTTGAGTCGACTCAACAGTCACCCCGACCCGTGTTTTGAGTCGACTCAACAGTCACCCCG